GAGCAGGGAGCCCGATGCGGGACTCGATCCTGGGACTCCAGGATCATGACCTGAGCCAAAGGCAGTTGCTTAACCAACTGAGCCACCCAGGTGCCCCTCGTAGTTCTTGAGCATGTACTGTGTCCTGGACGTGGTGCTGAGTGCCTTACCCACACGGTCTCTCTGCGTCCCCCTCGTTACGACTCCACGTCGGGCACCCTTCCTCTCCCAGACTTCTGCAGCCAGCCCCCCAACTCACAGACGCCAGCCCCTCACTGCTGCCCTGCAGGGAAACCAGGGCCTTGCTAGCTGACAGATCGAGCAATGTACGTGTAGCCCTCCTGTTACAGATCCTTTCATTTCAGTGGTGTGACTGTTGGTCCAAATCCCTCCTGCCTTCCGGAAGCCCATTCCTCATCATGGCTGATAACGCACGCCTGGGTGTTTCTGACTTGTCCGTGTCTGTGTCCATCATGAGCACCTGTTTTAGGGCCTGTCCTGAAAAGCTGGTGTGCCCCCCACCCCCCGCTTGTGTCGGCTAGCTCCGCGTGTGCTCCTCAGCCATCTCATCTGTTCTGGATCCCACCCCGCACAGGGGATGCTGCACCCCTGTAACCCTGGTCCGTTCTAGGCCATCCCACACTCAGTTTATCCCAAACCGACTTTCTCTGTAAGCTGCTTACATATGTACCCGGTTGGCTGCCACGTTGATGTCCCTGCAGTTCACGGTCTCTCAAGCTGGAAGCTGGGAATCTATGACTCCTGGGTTCAAGCCCTCCAGCCATCATCCAGACCATGGTGGCGTCGGCCTCCAGACTGTGCCCTCTGCCCCCTGGGCCCGCCCTCCTCGACGCCGTCCCCCGCACAGCTGTCCCAGAGTTCTCACGGAGGTGACTGGGGTGCTGACCGCTGACGTGTTTCCCCGCCCACCTCCACAAGGGCTGTTGGCTGGTCCTGCAAGCGCCCCAACCCACAGTGAGGGTCTGTTCCTAAGACCAATCGGGGCAGAAGCCTCTGGAAGGAGATAGAAATAAGTAAGAATTGCAATCATTTGAAAATAGTTACAGCCTAACGTATATTACTGGGAAAAAATATGCAAGAAAATATTCACAAGACAAAATAAAAAGGAGCTCTGAAAACAGAAAAGAAATTACACAAGTCAGGCCAAAAAACGGAGAACTCCATGAAGAGAGCTCAGGATTCAGAGGGGCGGGCGTGGGATGTGATTCCCCCACTCGCTGCTGGTGGCCGCCAGCAGGGGGCAGACCCGAGAGCTGGCCGTGGGGTCCCGCCAGCTTGCAAGGCTCGCCAAATGTACAAAATAGTGAAGGAGAAACAGAAATTGCCTGTTTCCCACTACCCAGAAATAACCACCCTTATTTCCTCCTGGCCTTTAAGTGTACACGCTGGAGGTGATGTCGTGCACACAGTCTACCCTAACTTTAGGTCGAAAGCATATCCTAACACTCTGCAAAACTTTGCACACTTTTGTTCACTATCTAATGCTTCTCAGAGTTGCTGTCCATATTTATTTTCTGACATTCTCATTTTCGTTTTGCTGTGTTAAGAGAAGACCTGGGACATCAGTAAAGCCCTTGGACTTGACAGAAGGCAAAGGCAGGGGCATCAGAACTGAAAAAGGCTCAGGTCTGATCCCAGGTCAGGGCCTCATGGGACTGGGAGACAGAGCGAACAGGGGCCTGCTGGGTCCGAGTGGGCCTGCGCTCTTGGAGATGCTGAGTGGTGAAAAGAAAGGAAAGGTGGGAAGACCATTTAACAGCATAGGTTTTCTCAGAAAGGGTGAGACCCCAGTGTTTCAGGCTCTGATAAGGGCCGAGTTCGGGGGAGAGATGAAGGCTCATTGGTGGAGCCGGGCTCTGTGGGTAGTGGGGAAGGAGGCGGAAGGGAGCCTGAAAGCCCCAGGGGGCGGAACGCCAGGATCAGGATCAGGTGCACACAAGAAGGAAGACAGGATGACAAGGAGGAATTTTCCGGTGCAACCGTGTGTGTGTCTCATGTAACATCAGTATTTGGTGGGTGTGGGGTTGGTAGAATGCGTGTGTAAATGTTAACTTACAGTTGGGGGAACTGCTTTCCTGAGCCAGTGAGGGTGTGGAGGACGTCAGCGCCCGCTTAGAGGGTGATGTGGTTCTTACTGGGAAGGGACGAGGCATAAGTGAGGGCCCAGCTGTGGCGGGAAGGACTTGCTGGGTGTGCGTGATGGAGGCCCGTCACAGCCCTTCCAGAGTCTTAGTTCCAATGACCGTCCCTGAGAAGAGCCCTGGGGAGGGACCACGTGATGAGCCGCCCACCTCTGGTGCTCGCTCATCTCCTCCTTCCCCGTCCCTGAAGGGCCCCGTGGACTCGAGCATGAGGGGCGCCCCGGTCACCAAAGCCACGTGTGGAGATACCCGTCCTACCCCGTCCTGCACAGGGGTTACTGTCCGGGTGTTTTCACGGGGTGGATGCAGCAGAGCTTGGTTTCCAGGACAGGTGAGAATCAGGCTTCCTGGATTCAGATGGATTCGGATACTCACCGTGGGAACTGGGAAATTCATCCTGGAATCTCTGAGACACGTTGTAGCTGGGGAGACAGACCAACACTGGAAACTAGTTATGGATATGAAGTGTCAGGTAGTTGGGGGTTCCAGGGGGGAAAATAAAGCAGAGAAGGGGCAGGAAGTGTCAGGGGCCGCGTGGGGGACCTCTGACCGAAGACTCCAGGGGTGGGGGCTGCAGCTGCACAAGTGTGTGAGGCCGCGTGCCCTCCGCGTGCAGGGAGGGTGGGGAGCGACTGTGGCCGGCATCCAGGCCCTTTGGGGCCATTGTACTCTGGGCAAGAAGGAGGAAACCACAGGAGGGTATGAGCAGCGGAGTGATGAAATCTGCCATGAGTTGGACCAGGCTCATTCAGAATGTCGGGTGGAGGCAAGAACCTGGTGAGGGAACATCACGGTAACTCACATGAGGTGTGACAGCGACATGCACTGGCCCACAGCTCCCCGGTGAGAAGGTGTAGGTTCTGTGTCCAGGGAGATCAGCAGCGCTTCCTGGTGACTTAGATGACAAATGGGAGAGAAACAGGGAAAGTCCATTCTTTGGGCCTGAGCAGACGGAAGGGTAGAATCACCAGGTACTGGGCCAAGAAAGACAGAGGGGGGGGCAGGCTGAGGAGGAAGGTCGGGAGTTTGGGCTTGGATGCTTGTTGGGCACAAATTGCCTGGTCCAGTGGGGAGTTGGACGGGAGACGTGAGGTCTGGGTTTGCACCCCTGACAGGTTTGGGGGCGCTGATGTGGACGCTGCCAGTCTGACCAGCAGTGTGAGAGCCCCCGGCCCCGGGGAAATGTAGGAGGACATCGGCTGAGGCTCATCGTCCTGCCTCTCCAGCCATGGGCAGCTGCTCGGGTTCAGGTGCAGAGTAGGCATCAAGTTAGGTTTCCTCAAGATCGGGTAAGTGGGGGCGCCTGGGCCGCTCAGTGGGTGAAGCGTCTGCCTTCAGCTCGGGTCATGATCCCAGGGTCCTGGGATCGAGTCCCATGTCGGGCTCCCTGCTCAGCAGGGAGCCTGCTTCTCCCTCTCCCTGCTGCTCCCCTGCTTGTGTTCTGTCCTCTCTCTGACAAATAAATAAATGAAATCTTAAAAAAAAAAAAAAT